TAGTTTTTGAGATTAGCTCATACAAACACACACACAGACACCACCTCTTCTTTATAATAGTATAGATAGATAGATAGATTACGCGGTGGATCACTTAGAATCTTAGAACACTGTATGTATTATTCATTTTTAATTGAGCTTTCGTAATTATTCTTGCATCCAGGCACATCACATCTGTCTGACATGCTGTAGTAACAAGTTCAATACCATTACTAATGATTAAGGGTAGTAGAAACGCGATTATGCACGTAGAGTACGCGACTCCTCCATTCACTGTGTAATGGTAAGACGACCGCGCACCAAGACATGGATGCAACGTTACCACTTTTCGCTCGCCGCGGCCTTGTATTAGAGGTGGCTGTGGTTGAAGTGAACCATCCTTAGATCGCGCTGATGTAAATTACAGACTTCTGTCAAATATGCAGCCTTTTTAACCATGCTTAAAGGACAGGACGGCTTTATTGTGAGTTATTGCTTATGTCACGTAAACTATATCAATAATAAAATACACCCGCTGCAGCAAACCTGCATACTAAGCGAATTTCCATGTAGGCCTTCTTGGCTGGATTTACACTTGAAGTATCCTCTTAAAATTGTCACATTTTATTTCCTACTAGTGTAGCCTACAGGTTGCTCGAATTTGAGCAATTACAAATTATTACATTACAGAAGTTGTTTCAAAACGAATAAGTTAACTTTCTTAATTTCAGATGAGTTTAAAAGATTCAACTCAAAGATTACCATGTAACTAATGGAAATACTCTCAACGTACATAGCCTAAAACTTTGATATAATCAAATTTTCTTGTAAATATTTAATCAATTTAAAAAGGTGATCCTTCTTTTTAGTGTTTTATACTTTTTAAATGTTTCCTGAGGACTTACCCATAGCCGCATAAGGTTGTCCACATTTATCTTCGTTATTGATAGTGTAGCATAGTACCGGTACCACCATTGTCCCCAGTAAGTTTACAAATTTCAGTATTTTTTTACAAATAGCGATAGAATTTGTTCACATTACTTAAGACATTAATGTCTTCCTGCTGACCGGTCACAATAAAAAAAAATTGCTTCAATTGTCATTCTTTTGGTTAGTTGCTGTAATAACGTAAATTATATTTACCTGAAAAAAGGCACAGTTTAAAGGCCTGATGTTGTTCAGGTGGTTTTTTATTTCCCTTTACTGTGAATAATAATTGAATCCTTCAGTAAAAGTTTTAGTAAATGTTTCATGCATGTAGTCATATTCTTCTTAAAAACACTTGACTTTTATGGAAACATGGATTAAATGTCCTTGACGTGACGTAGGTACCAGTTTTATCCAGCATTAAAGGGGTTTCTTCTACAATTAGGCCTATCACAAACATAAGTACATGTTTCCTACAAAAAATTGTAGCAATTGGACTAACATCCTTGTTCATTGTTTGTAGGAATCTTCCTTCATCTTGTGTGTTCTTTATTATATAGGCTAATAAGGATAACAATTCCTAAAAAAACACCATCTCTATTTCTTCTACTTGGTGGCTTTCCATGACTTTTCTATGTTTCTATAGTTTGCAAATCAGTTCTTTCAAGGATTGCTCAAGAAATACAGTACTTTGTCAACTGTCCAGGCTTTTAGCGAATTTCCCATGTAGGGAATTAGCGAATTTCTCATATAGGGAATAAGCTATTACCGTAGTACTCATGGTAAGACCTGGACCCGGGACAAATTTACTTTTTCGTTTTGAGGTCCCTAGAGACCAAAAACACCATCCGTTCAAATTCATATATATATATATATATATATTTATATATGTGTCCGTTAGCGCGATAACTCGAGCAAAAATCATCCGATTTTGATGAAATTTGGTACAAACGTGTAAACCTATGTTTATTCGAACGAGTTTGCAAACCAGCACGATCGGACTATGGGAACAGGGGTTTATGGGGGGTTTTATGGGGTAAAAATTGGTTTTTCCCATTTTTGACCCAAAAAACTTAAAATTTAGCAATTTCTTTCTAAACCATTTTGTAGAGCTTAAAAAAACAAATAATTTAGTATATTGAAGCGTTATTATGCGCCTAATGGTTATGGAGAAAATTCAAAAAATTTGTAAATTAAAATTTCCATGTTATTCTTATGGAGAATAAGTAAACTGTTGTAGTTTGCTTGTTTATGAACATACTAGCTGTGTGCCCGTTCTACGCACGGGGATCTTATAGTAGTCAGTTGAATGTGACAAAAATCACAAAATGTGTTGGGTTTTTGGACATTTGTAACTTTATTTCTTAAGTAGGTAGACCATGTATTCCATGGAAAAGTGCCGGTATCAAGGATCGTCATCGAAAAGGTTGTTATGAATAAATAGGTAGGCGTAAGTACCCAAAGAGATGGGCTATGGGCCTATTGGCTGGCTGTATGGTCCAGCGATTGCATCACACGGTGAGTAGAAACAGAAAGTGACACATTGGAAAAGCGAGTTTAGCATCATCCGTATAACTCTATTACTTACAATCACCCACTGAAGTTGTGATTTTTTTACTTTACACTTTACACAATCGCCATTGAAGAGCCGTCAGTGAGTGGAAACCTTGTTTGTAAGCTATTGGCGAAGATCGTTATAAGTGTCCCAGTCCTATACAACACTGATTCAAGGTCTTCTTTCTGGTTATCAAAACTCAAGAACAATTTCATACACAAATAATCTCTGGTTCCTGACCTGGATGATGCCTAGTTATTTAATTTCATTTACGGTTACACTATAATATTGCACTTGCGATTAATTAAATCCGTTATGTAAGAAAAACGTTTTTAATCTCACTTTGTTTGGGATTTGCTTTCAAAACGTGATCGGAAATGATTGCGGTATTTGTAAACAACATTTGTAAACATATCAGTGACAGCTAGAAAAAATAATCTTGATCCGAACAGTTGTTCGTTATTTCATAAATGATTATGTGATAAAAATTGACCGAAAACTTGGCAAAAATCTCACAAAACTGCATTTTTGAACGTCCGTAATTTTATTTACAAAGTAGTGAGGCCATGTTTTAATGGCTAAAGACACTCTCGCCAATCCAGTGAATACATTAAAATGACTTGGATCATGATAGGTACTCTCGTTTTCATGGAGAAGATTGCGTAAAATGCCATCTTGAGTGTTACAGAAAGACAGAAAGACAGACAGACAGACAGAAATAGAGATAAGACTTGTTTCTGCTTCTTTAATGTATAAAACGTAAAAATAACCTAAAAATATATAATTCTGAGCAATGTACAGACAAAACTCTAATTTTATTTATATAGATTTTGATTAAATTTAGAAAATGCATTCATTTCATACTAAACTATTACATTTTACAAAAAAACACCTTTGTACCCTCCCTGTTGCAGCAAACCTAAGTAGGCCTACTCTTGAAACTAATGTATTTAAATAGGGAATAAATGTGATATTTTTAAGGAGACATTTGAGTTCAAATCCAATCAGGCAAATAGAAATTCGCTTAGTCTGCAGGTTTGCTGCGGCGGGGGTATCTAAATTTTTTCCATTAATTTAAACCAACTCAGTAAAATTTAATGTTTGTAGCACTTGTTTCCTTGAATTGCTATTTTAACAGCAATTAAATTATCTAGCTGATCATAATGTAAAGAAATATTTTTTTGATAAGGATAACATGGGAACTTAAAAAGCCACTGGGACAGAGCCTAAAAAATGTAAGGTCAATTTCCAAATTTATGCAAAACGCCACTCTATTTCCAATGAGCGACTTGAATGGTCCAAAATCGGTTAAGAAATGGGGGAGGAGTTCAACAGACAAATTTTCATTTTTGGCGTATTTATCATAGATGTAAATATCATCAATTATTGTAATGAGTAGGCTACTTAGGTTTGATTGTAAAGAGAAGGTATTTTTTCAAACATTTATAGCTTAGTATGAAATAAACAAATTTGCCTAATTCAATCAATAAAATGTATCCATTTTAAATAAGCAAACTACAACAGGTAATTTACTCACCATAAGAATTAAATTGGAGTTTTTTATTTACACTTTTTTTTTAATTGTCTCTGTTTTTTACTGTTGGACATACAACAACGCTTCAATATAGGCCTATGTACACATACTAAATGATTTGTTTTTTAAGCTTTGCAAAAATTTGGGGTTGGCATATAAGTTTAAATTGCTTATTGCAGTTAACTCAAGCTTTGCGTTTGCAATGGTGGAGGTCAAAGTTTGATAAAATTTGCTTCTTTAAATTGACGGTATACTATGGTATTACACATCTACCATAGCCATAATGTTCTACCTCTTCACCTAAACAATAAAGAAAAATAAAGTATTACAAATTTAAAAAGTCACAAATTATTCATGACATTAAAAACATAAACACAACTGTAAACCATCCTACTTTACCAGTTCTCATTCCGTGTTTGTTGCTGCTTAGTTCAAATTAGTTTTTTTTTTTTTTTTTTTTTTAAAGAGGTTGGCGGCCTCTTTTAACCTTGCATTTGCCCGTCCACATAATGCCCGCTGTTTACATAAATGCAAAAAAAATATAGTGCTGCACCGTTAATAAATCTTATAACTTTTTAATGCTTTTGTATAAGAACCAACTTTTTTTGTTGAAACAGCTGACTATAGTTCGGCCGCTTAGAAAGCCAGCTCCTCCAGCATTGGCAGGTCGTTTTCTAAGCGGCCGAACTATAAATTCTTTAATTCCCTTTAAATATGAATACTCATAAGGTTAACATGGGGAACTACAGAGCCACTGGGGCGGAGCCCAAAGGCATTTTTGAGGTAAGAATATGCCTATATGTTAATCGGGAATGTGAGCTATCATCATGCCAAATTTCAGCCCAATCCATCCCCAGTGGCTTATGCGTGATTGACCTTCAAACACACAAACAAACAAACAAACAAACAAACACACAAACTTTCACATTTATAATATTAGTAAGATAAGATATATATATACAGGAGGCTAAGAGGAAATATACCTTAATTTTATACTGTTTCCAGGGTGGAGAAATACCGTCCAAACACTCTTGATGACTTGATATCACACGAAGATATTATTCGAACAAGTAAGTTTTTCCTTTTCAAGAACTTCTTTGTTGTCTGATAGCTTTGGTATCATCCCATTTTTGGAAAAACCAAAAATCAATCCTATATTCTCACAACATTTTAATTATTTGTCTTTTTTGTAATAAAATACTTACTACCGTACCTTGTATTTAAATATATTTTTTTGTTTGCCCTAATAACAATAGGCGTAGTATTAGTCCAGTAGACAATACATAAATTAACCATCACAATAAAACTAATGTAGACCTATTTTTTTTGTAAGGGGATGGTCCAAACCTTTATCTTGTTACTATCTAACATCATCCTTTTGTTAGCATGACTTATTGATAGCCCAATAACAAAAGGCATATATAGGTATGGTAACAACTCGCTTGTAATCAAACCAGTGACTTTTGAAGGCCAGTACTCTAACCACTTGGCTATATCCAGAAAATTATTAAAAATATTCCAAAACTACAAATTCCTATATAATACCAACTAAACATAAGAAGTCATCTATCACTCGCCCTCAACTGATGTAAATATTTTTTTAGACAAATTTAGTATTATAGTTAATTTTTAATTTGATGAAAAATATTTAAGTTTAGTAATATTTTATCTGTAGGTAACATAAATTTTGACAAGCTAGGAGGTTCAACAAAGAAAAATAATTTTAAAAAGATGTTATAATGTGTGGTTAATTGTTTGACTAATTTGCCAAAGGATAAAATAAAGATTAAGGTAATAATTACTAGGTAATCTTTCTGATTATGACCACAGGTCCTATAAATAACCACTAATTGCCAAACAAACAAAAAATATCACAAAGGTTAAAGAAAATCTACTGGAGAAAATAAAGCTTTATTTTTAACCCTCACTGCGCTGTAGACGAATATACTTGCCGAAACTCCCTTTGCTGAAAATGCTATGGACGACTGTGTTCTCCTTTTAATACAGAGTGTATTGGCTGGTCTTCGTAGTTCCCAGTTTTGCCTATGGAGTGCAGCAGCTATTAGGAAACGTCTCTCTTGATAGAAAATCGCAATAAAAACGTTCCCCGCCCTCCGATTGTTCACAATGGTGGCACGCTACACTTGTTGGTCCCTGCTATAAGAGACGCCAGGGCTGTGGACGTACTAACTCGCAAGTGTTTAGTTCACTCGCAGACTCCTATTGGAACATTGACAAATTTGCCTCTGAACTGTTTAAATGTACATTGTTTCAATATCATATGTTTTACTTTTTATATTAGCTGTGTTCATGTTGATGTTTGTGTGATCAAAATAAAAGTGTGAATTCCTTTCTTTAATATATTTTATATCTCATTAATTTAAAAGTTTATTCTTATAAGTAATCAAGAGAAAGAATGCCTTGGACAAGTACGTATCAATAGGTTATGAGCTATTATGGGCTATTATGGGCTATTCTACAAACAAGGTATTTTTAAAAAATTACTTTTAAAGAAGCTATATAATATTTTTCTTCATTGATTTGTCATTTTAACTGTTGACTTTTTTCTTGGAGCAAGTATAAAATTGGTTAGGCATTATGGTAAATTCTAATGAAAAGATTTGTATAGAGAAACTTTTGGGTGCAAGTAATTAAACTAAATGGAAGATGCTTATCCAGTTGTTGTTAAGACAACAAGGCTTGTTAAATTTCATAATGGGATCTGAAGTAAGACCTATTAATAACATTTCTGGATCTGAGCAAAATGCTATTGCAGATTGGGACAGAAAAGATGCTTCTGCTATGTTATACCTGATGTCATCTCTAGGCGATGAACCATCTACAATGGTTTTGACTTGCTCGACTTCTAAAGAAGTTTGGGATTGTTTAATATCTGTGTATGAACAGTCTAGTGAACAAAGGCTAGATCGTTTGCTAGAAGAGGTCTTTAGGTGGGATCAGGATCCTAATGAGGACATAGCTACCCATGTTGCAAAGCTTCAAAAACATTTTGCCGAATTAAATGATGCACTTGAGAAACAAAAGGAATCAAAGCTTAGTGATAGATTTTTGATTGCAAGAATTTTATCTACTTTGGGGCCAAGCTTTTGTGAATTCAGAAATGTATGGGAAGCTATAGAACAATTAAAACACTAGTTGAAAAAGCTTAACACTATAGAGCAGCGTGATAACGTGGAGATACTTAAAACTGCTTTATTTGTTTCAAACCCCACAGGTACAAGGGTTAAAACAGAAAAAAAAGGGCAGAGTAATCAGAATCAAAAGCAGTTTACTAAGATATTTTATTTTAAGTGTAAACAAAAAGGGCAAAAGGTTCCTGACTGTCCACTTAAAAAGAAGTCTACTGTATCTACATCTGATAACAAGAAGGATGTGTCTGCAAAACATAGTTTTATGAGCGGGAATGAGTTAACTTTTGCAAATCGGGACGTTTGGATTGCGGATTGTGGTGCTACTCATCATGTAACGTGGTGTAAAGATTATTTTACAGAGTATTCACAATTTTCAGAACCACAACTTATGTCTGGCTTCAGTGATAATGCTTCTGATAAAAAGTGTTATGCCGAGGGATCTGGGATCATTGTTGTTGAAACTAAAGTTGTTAAGGAGCTAATTCAAACGACTGTAGAAAATGTTTTGTATGTACCTAATTCTAGAGCTCATCTGTTGTCAGTCAGCAAGGCAGCGAAGAAGAACCATGTTTTTTCTGCTGACAATCTTGGATGTAAATTTACCCTCAATGGTATTGTTACATTGACTGGACGTTTGCATGGTGATTTATATTATCTTAACATGCGTGCTATTTGTCCTGTACAACCCACTGTACAACTTACATGTAAAAAAGATTCTTTACAGCTATGGCACGAACGGCTAGGTCATCAGAATCAACGCCATGTTAAACAAGTTTTGAAGATGAATGGAATTAATGTGAATGGAGACATGGGTCTGTGTAATGGATGTGTTCTTGGTAAATCTCATCATGGTCCATTTCATTCTCGCCAAACTTGTCCTGAGGTGGTTGGTGAACTGATCAGTACAGATGTCTGCGGACCTATGGAGGTCACTTCTCTTGGAGGTAACCGCTATTTTGTATTTTTTAAAGACTACTACAGTAAGTATCGCCAAGTATTTTTCATAAAGAATAAAAGTGAAGTAGATGATTGTATGCACATTTTTCTCGCAGGAGCAAAACAAGGTGGAAAGGTCATAAAAGAAATGTTGTTTGGTAACGGGTCTGAATTCCTATCAAAGGAAACTAGGAGAATTATTCAAGAGTATGGTATTAAGATACGTACAACTTCTCCCTACTGCCCTGAACACAATGGTTCTGTTGAGAGCGACAATCGAACGATTGTAGAGTCTGCTCGTTCTATGCTTCAGAGGAAAGTCTTGCCGAAGTTTCTTTGGGCTAAGGCTTGTAATACTGCAGTTTACCTCCTTAATCTTACCGGACCAAGTCCTTTGGAAGGCAAATCACCACTGCAATTGTGGTCAGGTAAGAGTGTTCCATGTCTGCAACACCTCAGAGTATTTAGAACTAACTGCTTTGTACATCAACCGAAGCAAAAGCGGAAAAAGTGGGATGCTAAAAGCGTTGACGGAATCTTTGTTGGGTATCATGGTTTGAGAGATGGATACAGAGTGTATGTACCTAGCAAACGGCAAACTGTTATAAGCCATGATGTTATATTCCAACCTGAGATATCCCAAGGAAGTACTCTTCCTGATAATGAGCCATCTTCGAGCGATGAAGTTCATTTTGACATCACTCCAAAAACAGTGGAAGTGGAAACTGACAAAGCCGCACCTCCTATTGTTTTGGAGGGAGGTGAGCAAGACAAGTGTGATGTATTGTCTCAAAATGAAACCACGGAAGGGGAAACTGACGAAGTGGCAACTCCTACTGTTTTGGAGGGAGGTGAGCAAGACGAGTGTGTTGTATTGCCTAAAAATGAAACCACAAAAGACGTGTTGCGACAAGGAAAACAAGTGAAAAATGTACCAAGTTGGATGAGCAGTGGAAATTTTGATCTGGTGCTGGTTCAATCAGAAACACAGATGTTTCCAAGGTTTTACAAGGAAGCAATGGTGTTGGATGATGCATCTGACTGAAAGGCTGCTATGGACGATGAAATACAATCTATTCATGAAAATAAAACTTGGATTTTGGTGGATAAACCAGAAGGAGCTCGTGTCCTGGGATGTCGTTGGGTACTTCGAACCAAACCTAATTCTGATGGTTCTCATGAAAAATACAAAGCTTGACTAGTAGCCAAGGGATATGCACAACGTGAAGGAATTGACTATAATGAAATGTTTAGTCCTGTGGCACGTTATGACACCATTAGATCTGTGCTAAGTACGGCTTCCGTTGAAATTCTGGAATTGCGTCATTTTGACGTGAAGACGTGAGAGTTTTTATATGGTGATCTTTCAGAGGAAGTTTACATAGAGCAACCTGAAGGTTATTCTGATGGAACTGGACGTGTGTGTAAACTACTAAAGTCATTATATGGTCTGAAACAATCTCCTCGTTGTTGGAGCTTGAAACTTACAAAGTTTCTTGAATCTCAAGGTCTTAAGAGAAGTAACTCGGATCCCTGTCTCTTTTATAAAAACAATCACGGGAAGAAGCTACTTGTACTTATTTATGTAGATGATGGATTAGTAGCTGGGACCGACAATAGTATCATTGATGACTTCATGAAAGTTTATCAAAAGTTTTAAAAATCAAATCTGGTGAACTTGACAGTTCCTTACAAAACCTCCCAATCGAGTAAGGTTTACACAGCTTAAAGTAAACAAGGGAGTATTGGAACATTGACAATTTTGCCTCTGAACTGTTTAAATGTACATTGTTTCAATATCATATGTTTTACTTTTTATATTAAGCTGTGTTCATGTTTATGTTTGTGTGATCAAAATAAAAGTGTGAATTCCTTTCTTTAATATATTTTGTTTCTCATTAATTTAAAAGTTTATTCTTATAAGTAATCAAGAGAAAGAATGCCTTGGACAAGTACGTATCAATAACTCCCCGGAAAACTTT